GCATTTCTTTGAAGTGGGTGGGTCTGATCATAAGCTTAAACCTCAGGGCTCCTTCCAACTCTACAATTCTATAATTCTAACAGTGTGATGCAGCAACAATAACAACTATGCAATTCTAGGCTGCATCAAGTGAAGTATGGTGTCCAGATCAAGGGAAGTCATAGTACCACTCAATTCTGCCTTGGTCGGACCCCACCTGGAGGACTGTGTGCAGTTCTGGGCACCACAATTTAAGAAGGATACTGATATGCTGGAACATGTGCAGAGGGCAACCTAGATGATCAAGGATCTGGAAACTAAGCCTTATGAGGAATGGTTGAATGAGTTGGATATACTTAGCTTGGAGGAGAGTGGGAGTCAGGACAGGAATCCCCTCTTCACAGAGGTGAACCTGGAACCTTCATTATGTAGTTTTTGCCATTTGGTGTAGATGTACCTCTTTCTTTTTGTGAGCAGTGGGTTCAATCCTGCTGGTTGTAGGGGTTTTCTTTGCTAGTGTATTTCCTGCAGGAAATGCAGTGGCAAAGCAGCACCTAATAGGAACTGAACCCTCTGCAGTGTGGTTGTGGGGTGGCCATATGTTTTCTTAGGTTTTTAAAAAATAAATTTGGGGCTGGATTCTGGTCAGGCCTGGTGTTCCCTGGCTGGGCCTGGGTTGGTGGAAGGCATGCACAGCATAATAATAATATAAATAATATTTCAAAACAGCAGAATTACATTCATATAACATTCGCCTTGTGCAAATTTCACTTCTCTTCTCCCCCAACCTTATACTGTATACAACAACATCTCTCACATCAAATGTAGAAAAAACTCTACGACCTGAAAATAGAGACAATGCCCGTACTTTTGTAACCCAAGAAAATCTGTAATAAAAACTGCTTCTTTAAAAAATTACCTAGTAGTTACACAACACAAGCCCTTCTAATTTTCTACCTAAAATGGTTGGAACCAATTTGAACCAATTTTAGCTATTTGTTATTGCACATGAAATTTCCCCCCAGCGATGAAATAACAGCTGATGCCTTAGTTTGGATCTATCCTGCATTAAGAGAGAGGAAGAGAGAGAGACATTTAGAGATCTCCAGTATATCAGCCATCGTATTAATCACACCATTAATCTTTGTTTTACCACTGACAACTCCAGTACAACCCCAGATAACGGGAAAGTTGCAAAATGCCATCCCAGTATGTTCTTGATTAGTATTTATGGCCCTAAAAATTACAGGCCCGGAGGTTAATTGCAACGAGAGGACTGGCAACATGCCTTGGAACTATCATTCCTATCTAATTAATGTAACATAATTAAATAAGTTGAAGAGTTGATCGGATTTATTTTATTTACCTTTGGATATCTAACCTGCCTTGAAATCTCAAGTGCATACCCATTCTTTTTAGAAAAAGGTAAATTGAAACATCTAAAATGATAATGTGATGGATACAGTTATCTGGTTAAACTGGGAATTGGGCAGACGGCCAGCTCTAGAACAGGTTGTGCTCCCTGAAGTGGAAGGCACATAGCTTTGGGTTCCTCCTTGATCTGACATTGAGGCCCAGGTGACATCAGTGGGAAAGAGTGTCCAGCGGCAAGTGATTTACCCACTCCAGCCCTTCCTGGACTAGCATAACCTGGCCACAGTAGCTCACCTTCTCATGACTTCCCTATCCAATTACTGTAGTGTGGTTTATGTAGAGCAATCCTTGAAGACAGCCTGTAAGCTAGAACAGAATGAAGCCACCACAGTTCTGAGCAGTGCAGATATTTTGAATTATGCAATGCCATTCCCATTCTAGGATAGGGGCAAAGTTACCCCATTCTGCTCCCTTGGGATGATGTCTTGGGAGGCTCTTCTCCTGAAACAGGGAAGCGGAACTTCAAGATTCAGGTTTCCCATGGGGCCATTTAGAACTGGGTGAGCATCCTATTTAAGGGAGCCACCTTCCCAACATCTTTCTTCCCATAATTGCAATACTTGTCCTCCTAACCCTTTAGGGGCTGAGTAGGATTGTTTTTTGGGTATTTCTCAATTGGCCTTTGACATGCTTTTTTTTGGCCTACTCCGCATTGCCTTCTTTGGGTTGAATTTTGGTGTGTTTGGGTAAAGGGCAGTATACAAATTTCAGTAATAATAATAGTAGTAATAATAATAATAATAAGTTTTTTGTATATTGGCACTTAATGTGGCAGATAACGGAATGAATTCACTTTTAAGCACCCCAAGGCATGCTTCTGCTGTTAAGGAGCAGGCAGAAGGCTTTATCTCTGATCTTAGCACTGTAGTGCTTAGCACTGAGATTGGAAGAGAAAATCCCTCTGCCTGACCTCTGAGTGTAAAAGTCAGCTTTTCTCCCCATCCTCACCCCAGTATGGAGCAATACTGCTTTTTACTCTTACAAAGCAGACAGAGGGGCCTTCTCTCTAGTTTCGGGCTTAGAACTGAGATAAAGAGGTCACTCTCTAAGGTCCAGGAAGAGGAACTTCATCTCCTTATCAAAGTGGCATATAAGGCTGTGGAGCTGGAGGACCTTTTCCCACAGTTTGCCTGGGCAGAGCCAACCTTTAGGTTATTCAGCCCTGTTCAAAGCCTTTCTCAGGATGCCTCTGTCAAGCCTGCAAGTATAGCTCAGTTGGTTAGAGCATGGTGCTGATAATGCCAAGGTTGCAGGTTCGATCCCCATAAGGGACAGCTGCATAGTTTTGCATTGCAGGGGGTTGGACTAGATGACCCCCCAGGGTCCCTTCCAGCTCCATGATTCAATGAAATAAAGTATGGCGGCTAGTGAAATGGATGAAAGGCCTTCCTTGTAGATCTCAGACACGCTGATATGGGGAGAGGTATGTATTTGGGTCCTCAGCTGTTCAGGGGTTTTGAAAGTTAACATGAACACTTTGAACCGACCCTGAACGAATTCTTCCCCATCCCTGTTAGTTACTTTATGGAAACTACCAGCTGGTTTAACTGGAAACTACCAAGTTCATAGGTCAGACTCTTAGCTATTGGGCTGCCTTGAAAGATGTGAGGTACTGCTGAGCTTGAATAGGCTTTTGAGGAGTTCCTTTCAGCAATTCTTTCTTTACTGATTCTGGTTCCAGTGTGTTGTTACATAGGAAGCTGCCTTATACCAAATCAGCCCAGTGGTCCATTTCAATATTGTCTACAATGACTGGCAGGATTTCAGACAGGGAATGCTTCCCAACTCTACCTGGAAATGCCAAGGTAGATTCAGCCTGGGACATGCTGCATGCAAAGCAGATTGTTTCCCGCTGTGCTACAGCTAATTCATCCAAGCAAATTCAAAATGGGCAACCCCAGCTCCTGAAACCCTAGCACTGAATGACTTATGAGCATGAGCTGAAGTTTCATTTGTGTTGCAAGCTAAACATTACTGACTGAGCACCTCTCTCTTTCTCTCTCTCTTGGAACAACCAGATAACTTATCTCAATGCAAACCTTCTTAACAAAACCCTCCATCCCAGAGGCTAGGTGTATTCTCTTGCCATTTATAATGATAAAAATTAACAGTGTTGTATTTATCAATGAAACCAACAGAAGTACATTGCCACCTACCATTAATCACTGTAGCTGCTCCTGATATGAGGGCAATTGGCTTTTCCCTGGGCACCTGCCTCTCTCTCCCAAGAAATTATGACCCCTAGCAATCACATATTGCCAAAGACAGGGAAGAAGCTCACAAACCCAGGAAATAAAAGGAGGCAATTCAGAAACAGAGCAGGAATCAATTTGGGTGAGGTTCGTGTGTAAAATATTCACAGAGTCTTGAGTCAAGGCCAATAGTAGGAAGCACAAAAATAACTTACTGATCCTCTGGTATGGGCAACTGGCTAATCCCGTAGTAATCCTTACAGGACAGGTGTATAGGTTGCTGTGCTATGATTAAGAGGATAGGATGGTGGGCAAAATCACCTTAAGAAAATATAAGAACATAAGGAAAGCTCTACTGGATCAGGCCAGTGGCCCACCAAGTCCAGCATCTTGTTCCCACCATAGCCAGCTAGATGCCCCAGTATGAAACCCACAAGCACAAGAGCTTCTCCTCTCGTGGTTTCCAGAAACTGGTATTCAGAAGCGTTACTGTTTCCAACAGTGGAAGCAGAACATAGCCATCATTGCTTATAGCAATTGATTGTATTATCTTTCATGTACTAGTCTTTTACTTTAAGCCATTCATCTTGTAAGGCACTTTATTCAGCCCAATGATATAAACAGCCCTATGGAAAATCCCCTCTTGCCCTCTGTTCCCTGGAGAAGATGTGGTGTTGCTCTTTCACCCCTGGGTCAGGCAAGAGGGGCCTGTTCCTGCCCTTTGCATCTGCAATATGAAAAGCACGCAGCTATATGCTTACACAACTCCATAGTACCAGCACACCCACTCCACCACATAATAAATGCAAGCAATCTTTTATGTTTGTAAAAGATAAACATAAAAATCCCAAAGGCAAATGAAACCCACCTTAATTATGGATTTGCATATTCTTCTTGTGCTGCAGATGGCAATATGGATGAGGGAGAAAAAAGCAGTATTAAGGGGAAAGAGGAGGCTGGTGTTATTTCTATAACATTATGTCTACTATCAACAGGGTAATGTTTAAAAGAAATTGCTTGTTTGCGTATATGTCCCACTGTTGCTACTAAATTTGGAAGCCAGACCTGTTCAATAGTCCTTTACTGTCATTATTCATGATGCTGTTCCCAACATGTTGTTAGTGGATAACTGAATTTTAAAGCACTACTTGGACACACACAGAGAGGGAGCTTTGTTAAGGGGGTGGGTGAAATGGTAACACAAAGCAGATTCAAGACAGGCAAGAGTTTCACTCAGCAGAATGTTAAAGTATGGAAGTTGATGCCACCAGATGTCGTGATGGCCAGACATTTAAGAGGGGGTTAGTCAATGTCATGGAATATAAGACTACTAGCTGCCATGGAGGCAGACCACGAGGGTCATCTAGTCCAACCCCCAGCAATGCAGGAATCATTTGTCCAACATGGGGCTCAAACCCACAACCCTGAGATTAAGAATCTCATGCTCTACCGATTAAGCTATCATTAAAATCATACAGTCTCTTCAAGTCTTCTTTCAAAAACAATTGGCACAATATGGGATGAAACAGATCTGTGAGCAAAAGCAAAACTGAAAAGGGACACAGTTAGGCTGCTCAGCCCTTTCCTTGGAAATAGGCAAGAAACTGAAGGCTGTGAGAAATTGGGACGGCACAGTATCTTGGAAAACAGCAATAACAGCTGCAGCAGAGCAATGCAACAATTCTGCTTCACAGATAAGGCCAGGTAACTGAGAAACAGACGACAGGACTTCTAGAAGCATTGCACTATGATCTCAAGAGAGGCTATGAAATAAAGCAACTTTGAAGAAAAAGGCTATGTTCTCCCCCCACCGCTCGCCACACACACCTTGCCCCAAACTGCCTTGCCTATGTTCTGCATGACAGGAACCCATCCAGGAGTGAAAAATGGGTTCCATCACGTGACTGAGCTCTTGCGGAATGAGTTCAGTAGATACAGCAGCTTGACACCTGGCCAGCTGTGCCCCTGAGGGCAAGGTTAGAAAGCCAATCCCTTTTGTCAAATAGGAGTCTTAACCGCTTGACCAACTAGGTGAGTCTGTACAGACTCGTCAGAGGATTCCTCCATCCACCTTCTGATTGCTTTCCCTGATGCAGAATCCCGCTGTACCATTTTTGTAGGATTGTTGCATTCCTTCACTGAAAAGCGATCACACAACACCCTGTTTGTTTGTTGTGTGTAATGTAAGTTCAGTGTTAGAGAACAAGATATATGGACAGAAAAGTTCCAGGTTCAATCCTTGGCATCTTTCAGGCAAAGCCAAAATGCTGTCCAATTTGCACATTGCAAAAAATAAATATGGCATTTTCAAAAACCGGGCTTGAGCTAAAACTCCACAATTTTGAGCTTGAAACAACCTCCCTTATTTTGAGTGACATGTTGACACTCATTGAGATACATCCCACCAGTTCGTTTGCATTGCTCTTCATTGCTCCCACTCTCGGTTGCCTTGGCTTGCCCTCAGTGATGTCACCACAAACCATTGGCTACACAGCTTTGCAATGCCAACATATTAGGATGGGCTATCTCCTTTTGACAACACTTTCCCTCACTGTCCCTCATAGATGCAATCATGCAGTCACATCCAACAGACTACATGGTGGTGTGACATGCTATTCATGGCATCCCTAACTGACTTTGACTTAAATAAATGCATGTTGTCTGAATCTGGAGAGAAAAGAAGGAAAGAAATAGTTTGAAAGTGGGAGAAAAGAAGTGGTGTGGTGAGGCCAGACTCAATGATGACCACTTAAACAAAGCCGGGGTGGCACCTCATGCCATACTCCCAGATGGACAATGTGTGCTATTCATAATCCTGTCATTTGGTCGGGACGCTAATTGTTCATGTGGAATATGGCAGTATTCGGGAATCAGAATTGTAGAGTTGGAAGGGGCCCCATTGCAGAGTCTAACCTTCTGCAATGCAGGAACATGCAGCTGTCACATACAGGGATTGATCCTGCAAACTTGGCATTATCAGCTCCATGCTCTAACCAAGGGAAGAGTCACTGTTCACTGCTAGAGCACGTTTTGCATGTAGACAGTCCTAGGTTCAGTCTCAAGCATCTCCAGATAGGACTGGAAGAGACTCCTTGCTTGGAATCCTGAAAGCTGCTTCCAGCCAGTGAAGGCAATACTGAGCTAGAGGGACCAAAGGTCTGACCAAAGGCAGCTTTTTGTGTTCCTTCCTAGGTTCCATCACTCAGTGGTTAAAGTGTCAGCTTTGCATGCAGAAGGTCCCAGCTTCATTCCTGGTAGCATCTCCAGGTAGGGCTAGGGAAGATTCCCTGCCTGAAACCCTGGAGAGCTCCAGACAGTCCATATAAGTAATGTTCTGCTAGCTGGACCAATGGTCCAACTTGGTATAAGGCAGCTTCCTTTGTTTTCTATGATCCTATTTGCTCTGGGAGTGGAAAAGTACAAATATTTGCAGCCTGCCTTCATGTATTGGCCATACAAAACCATCTCAAATGGATGAGCACCTGGTGCATCTGACGAAAAGTCCCCCCCTGTATTTGTGCTGCTCCAGTGGCCAGGCAATTGCATCCTTAGCATTTGCATCCATAATTTTTCATAACAATAATGCGCCCTAATGCACACACTGTATTGCATCTCAGCAGGACCAAAAGGATCCCAGCATCGTTCCTGGAGCATATAGAAGAAAGCAATTATCAGAGAGCACTGGGCACTCATCCGCCACCTACTGGGGAAAATTAATAAGCTTTCTGGGGCTTGTGGTTCACCTTTCACTTCCCGCATTCATCCTACAAACAAGAGACAAAGTCGCAGATGTGTAGGAGATCAAATTTTAAGTGGGGTTTTTAGCTGGTAAGCAAATATCACTGCAGCTCCACAAGTGCTTTGACTTCATTCAAACAGATCTGGAGTTTAGGCTTTGCAAACAATCACACCAATATTTATCCGCCGTAAGAAGTGTATTTTTGGGGAGCAGGAAGTATTCACCATTCAAGCAATATCCTGCATCTTGATGCCTCCAAGGCATGGGTGGGAGAACTTTTTCAAGCTAAGGTTTACATCTTCCTTCTGGGCAAACATTCCAGGGACCCATGGCAGTGCTGGGCAGGGCCAGGGGAGTACATGAGTAGAGCAATGAATGTAAAATTTATCTTTATACACTCAATCACTTTCTACCACCACCACCCAGCTCTTTTCTCCATCTCAGGCAATAAGAGGCATTACCAGAGTCTTTATTTATTGATTTATTTATTTAATGTATTTACAGGTATATCCGGCCTATCTCACAAGTTGGTATTCAAGGTGGCTAATAATAGATTTATTTTTTTCTAGGGTGGGTGTTCTTAAATTCACTATTACCCTCTCCCACATTTCAGCCTTGAACACCATCAGTAGATACTGAAGCATAGATTATATTGGCTCTCATACTCATCTTGCTCAGCCTGGTAAACAATTACCTAACTGTAAAAGCAGGACGCTCGACTAGATGGGCCATTTGCCTCATCCAGCACCGCTCTTCTTATGTTTTTATAGCACAGGGTTGTTTCTTTGTTTCCTTTAAAGAAAAGAGCTTCTCTTATCTAAAAGCAGACAGGGTTTGATGAGTGCTTCCAGAGTTTTAAAGTCCATCTGGGCCAGTAAAATGTATTGTCTCACCTGCTTTCAACCCCTTCCTTTGGTGATATCATCTAAGTTAGATAGCTCCATAAATTTCAATGGGCCCACTCTGACTAATGTTGCACTCTGCTATTAAAATTAAAGAACGAAAGGCTAGATGCACATGAAATCAACCAATAAGCACTCATCATTCCTGATCACTGGCCAACCACATACCCCTGAAATGGAAGATTTTGTCAAACAGAGGACTGTCCCTTGTAAAGTAGGACACATGACCACCCGGTTTCAAACATCACCCGTTGTGGCATGTGAACTGGCTCTGCAGAAGTGGCAACTGAGTCACCAATGTATGATGAGGCCTTAACACTGATGCTAATTGATGCAACCAGTGAATGTCCAATGTTTGGAGCTATAGAATGAGACTATTGCCACAGGCAGCATGAGATTATGCTTTGCAAGATAAGGGTTTTTTGTTTTCTTTTTTTGTTTAAGTCTCTTGAATACAGGGCCATCTTCTTCTTTTCAAATTTTACAGTTGGCTGCAGCTGTCACAATTCATTTTTTATAGGACATCTTTTCCAGAGTGGTACGTGATAGCCCTGACCTAACATGTTACTACGTCTGAGGTGTCACATTTAAAGCAGGAAAGATAGAAGGTTTTATGAGGGGAAAGGAGGACACACTCCGACTAGTGTGTATGTCTGACACACCGAGAGAGGGATCAATAAAGAAATTAATATCTGAATTTTGATTCACAAAACCTGCAACAGGAATTCCCCTTGCAATTTCTTGCCACAGACTTTTACTGTATATATATATCCTTCTGTCTATTGTAATTTTAGACAGTAATTCTTTTTGCAGTTCCATTTCTGCAAAAAGACCCAGAGCATCTTAGTCTGTGTGTTTCAGTGCATGGGTTCAAGGGACCGCATAGGCCTACACAGCTCTTCTCAGAAGTAGGCCCCATTGACGCGGGTGGCGCTGTGAGTTAAACCACAGAGCCTAGGACTTGCTGATCAGAAGGTTGGCGGTTCGAATCCCCGCGATAGGGTGAGCTCCTTTTGCTTGGTCCCTGCTCCTGCCAACCTAGCAGTTCGAAAGAACGTCAAAGGGCAAGTATATAAATAGGTACCGCTCCGGCGGGAAGGTAAATGGCGTTTCTGTGCGTTGTTCTGGTTCGCCAGAAGTGGCTTAGTCATGCTGGCCACGCCGGCTCCCTCAGCCAATAAAGCGAGATGAGCGCCGCAACCCCAGAGTCGGTCACGACTGGACCTAATGGTCAGGGGTCCCCTTTACCTACTCCAAGGTAAGGGACTGTGTGATTGCAGTCTGTACCTATATCTAATCTAGGCCAAGCAACATTGTGGGTTTCATGTCTTAAAACAACATCCTTCCTTATTCTGAGACTGGTGGTGCTGTTTCAAGGACCAGCAAATGCAAAAAAACAACAACCCAAAAGGAGATGAGTTGAATTAATGGTGGAAAAGACTATTAATGGCTACTAACCATGATGGCTACGGACTTCCTCCTCTGAATATCACTTAATGGGGATCACAATGGACCTTTAGTCTGATCCAGCAGGGCTCTTATGCCAAGGGAGGAGCTCCCATAGGCTTAGATCAGGGTTTCCCAAACTTGGGTCTCCATCTGGTTTTGGACCACAACTCCCATCACCTCTAGTTAGCAGATCAGGGATGATAGGAATTGTAGTCCAAAAACAGCTGGAGACCCAAGTCTGGGAAATCCTGGCTTAGAGCTTTATAAAAGAGCCAGCTTTTTTACTTTTCTTTTTTCTCAAACCCACTTTCCCCTGTCAAAAATTAATGTGAGAACTCATTCTTCTCCTCCGTGTCCATTATCCTTCAATGCA